CTTTTATTTCTTTTCCCCAGATACAGTACCTATGGATAAATATGTGAAATTCAATGTTTCTATTGAAAAAATAAAAGSTTGGCATTCATTCACCCGCTGCCTTTCATCACAGATTACTCAGATTATTTTATTTTGAGTTTAAAACAGATTTGATTGGGTCAAATCTTGAACATAATGYTATGCACCATCTTGCACACAGAGTATGTGCTGTATATGACCTTCAGCTACCACCACACCAAATTTGTTGTGCATTGTATTTGGCTGAGTCGTAGTTATATTTTTTAAGATCAACAGAGTTGTTCTCATCTCAAATTGGCTTCGGATGTTCATCAGCTTTAGATCTACAACCGAATACTTACTGAAAGTTTAATTAAAAAAACGTAAAACATTACATATTTTGCTAATAGAGTCGACTCCAGATATTTGACGGCATAATTTTACTTAAAGACGTTGCGCAATCTGTCCGTGCTTCCATCGTGCCGAGGCTCATGCTCAGAATTCTGGATCAATATTTGTTGAATCGACTGAATTCAATTCATTGCTGTTTTCGTGCTGTATGATGTCACTTAGCTGTGGTGACCATCTTGAATTAAGAAGCTCCTAAAGGTAACGAGCTGTAGAGTTACTACCTCCTGCAAGTTTCATTAAAATCCACAAAGTTGTTTAAGATGTTTTGCTGACAGAGACATGTGCAAATGCATCCTCGCCTACTTTTTTGCCGTTTTGGTGGTGGGCGATTGTACAAAGCTCATGGAGTAATCATTTCAATCTGAAATGCCATGAAAGCAAACAGAAATGTTGTTTTTTTATATTAAGTGATCTTTAGTCTTCCAGCAATTCACACTTAATAGCTTTTTAAATTCCGCCGATAAATGACTCTGAACACTTCTGCTGCTCTCAGAGGCTCAACTTTTTGCTTCCAGAGAATTTAAGAGCACCTGAGTTCTACAAGATGTGTTTTTATCCCAAAAAAACCGTTAAAACCAAACCTGCATGAAGAGATGTTTTAAAAAATACTATTAAGACTTAAAAAGAGATTAAAGTGAAAGTTACTTTGATGTTGCTTTTTTATTTTTTTATAACTGTAGCTAATCTGACTATTTTTGTTAGAGGGTCCTCTGACTTTCATCAAACTCAAACACTAATCTAATCAAACATTTTTACATTTCTTTCTGTTCTGTGGTTATTAGATTACATGATTGCTTTGGCTGGATAAAGAATAAACCTCAGGCTGACACAAATTCGTTTATGTAATGCATTCTCAATAACCCAGGTAGAAAATCAAACGAGTTATATCCTATGTTCTTTGTTAAACACGTTGCATCTTTTAAGCAAAAAAAAAAAAAAGAAGAAATAAATAACATTCTTCAGACGAAACATTTCAACAAAAAAAAAAGAACCCATCCAGAGGACCCAATCAACCCTGTTTAAAAAATGTTTTGTGTTCTTCTGTTTTTCAAATGAGTCTGTTATTAACATTTTAGCTCACTTCTCGGTTGTCCTTGATGTGTTTTTTTTTTTAATGCAGATACAGAGAGCCTTTTAACGTATCTGGATTCTGATCCTTAGAGCTTACATTTACTCGCCGTCATTCTCCGAGTGCCGCTGTTCCCATGACCCCTGAGGAAACACAACGCTCCTCTGAGGGCTTACACAAGACGAAAACGCCACATCAAGCAAAGCTCCAGCTTTCAAAAAGAAGAAATGACACTCGGTCGGTGAGAGCACACTTTGTTGTTCTATCAGCTCCAGGGACGAAAACGAGCCGTTTGATTGGTTATCTGTAGCATCAATGACGTCCAGTCAGACGTGTTCTAAACTGGAAGGCTTTAATGACTCTCAGCTACTACCACACCTGGTTTGATGTTAGCATTTGTAAAAGTGGTGTTTGTTTTTCAAGCTGCTTTGGCAGCCATGTTGAATCATGTTGACTGCAGGAGTTTTGGATTTTCCTCCTTTCTGACAGATTCATTCAAGTTCAGCAGTTCCCAAGGTTTTCTATCCACAAGTTTCCTGAGAAGCTTATGTAGGCTGCCATGACAGTCACTAGCCCCGCCCACAGCCCTCCCCAACTGTTCGCTTTTTCCGGTGCGCAAGAAATTCATTCAGGGCTGCCCAACCCTGGTCCTGAAATACCCCTATCCAGCATGTTTTACTTGTTTCCCTGCTATTCAGCAGGTCTTCAGAAGATTGTTAATCACTCATTCATTCAAACCAGGTGTGTCAAATCAGGGAAACATCTAAACATGGAGGAAAGGAGTCCTTGAGGACCAGGGTTGAGAATCACTGCTTTAACACATGTTATCTGATTTATTATTAACAAATAAATGGCAAAGAATCAATGGCTTCCAGAGGCAATACTAAAAACCATAAAACTAAGTCAATATTATATTTTGAAAATGTCTCATCAAGCTCAGAGAAGCTCTTGAGGTGTTGGTCAACATTTAAATCAGTGATTTTTATATGTTTCCCCGACTTGACACACCTGGTTTGAATGAATGAGTGATTAACAATCTTCTGAAGACCTGCTGAAGAGCAGGGAAACAAGTAAAAGATGCTGGGTAGGGGTCCTTGAGGACCAGGGTTGGGCAGCCCTGATGCAGATAGTTATGATAACAACAAATTTACATTGTTTTTGTTTTAACTGGCAGCTTGAGCAGTTCAATCATGAGTTTGTGTTCATCTTGTTTATTTGTCGACTGCCGCAACAATTGAAGAAATCTGAGAAACGCTTTAAACATTTTGGCTGGAACAAGACGTAGTAAAGTCTCAGTGTCCTACAAACTGCACTTATGCCGACGAAGGGGGATCGTAAACTAACATGGCTGCAGCTTTAAATCAGAAAAACTCATCAAAGAAAGTTTGCTTGCTTTTTTCATTTTATCAACAAACATTCCCATGGAAATACACTCCGATCCAGAGCTAAGGCTGGCTGCTGAAGGCGTCTCGTCTGAACCACTGTGGGTCAGAAAGCTTCCAGCAACATCAACTAAAAAACTGAATCTGTACCTGCTGAGTTAAACTCTAAATGCTCTGTTTGCCCTGTTGCTATTTAATTGTGCAGTTCTTTGCTTTTACTGAATGAAAGCCTACGGTGAATGGCGTTAGCATCAGCGCTAACTACTGTTAGCCTGGTTGTTT